CGCTGTCGATACACCTACGCTTCACCCCCACGATTCAATTCCAATATATTCACCTATTAGGACATGAGGAAGGGTAACGAAAGAGAAAATCAAAGCCTCTGCGGCCAGGAAGTGAAAACCCATGTACGACGCGACAAGGTGGAAGAGGAGAGGAAAATGAAGCCCTCATCGCCGCCGATTGTGTCGCCAGAGTACGATGGTGAATGCTTGATCTTTCTAGGGGAAGCCTCCCAATTGCAGGTAACAAACAAAACCGATTAGTTGATTCGAAATAGTCAAGTGAAATGGAATGAACCCTTTTAATCATCGTCATCAGCTATTGCGTATTCTATTGCATTCCTTAGTCTGTAACCAGGGACTTTCCATAATCTTCTATTATCCTAATGTATATTTATTCGCCTCATCTCTTCCCAAACTGTGACTCTCCCTTGCTTCATACATTGTTGATGGCTTTATATTCTTTCTTTGATGCAACTGTCCCAAAGGTCGATGAAGGAGTCGCGCTCGAAGGTCGGATGGTGGTGATAGTTGGGGTACAGACAATGGAGCTTAGAACGTCCAATGTGAATGATTTGGGGTCGAGTGGGGTTTCCTTCGGCAGATTTGGTTGTAGCGAAGAATTCTTCTTTCATTTCAGGCAAGCTCGGTACACCACCTTACACCTTTTGATCTATTTTTAATTTGTTGCAATTATGAAATGCTCAAAGCCTTCGCAACAACACAATCCTCCATTCTGTTCAACTAACTCTATTTGGGTTAAAATTATTATTCAATTCAATTGATTGCATTTTGGCTCTAGGTTACTTTAGAACCACTCAACTCAAGAGAAGGATCCATGTGGTTTCTTTTGCATTGTGCTTGCTTCTCTAGAAATCAAGCAGTATGCATTCATGTGGTATCTGTTGGGAATGGATCACTGAGTCTCATTTCTGGGTTATTGAGCTCACTCCAATAATACTTCCACGCAAGACACGATAGCGCTTTGTTAGATAAAAATGTTGTTTTATCATCATTGAGTAGTTTAATGGTGTATTAGTTATGTTGCCTCTTCAAAAGACAGCGTCACTTGGCATATTAGCAGGAAACATGGGGCAAAGCTGTGTGGAGATTACCCTCAGCTTTAAATAAATAAATTTGGACTGGACGACCCAGCTAAAGCTTTGCCTCTTAAGATTTGGGGTAATATTTGATTTTGATGGACCTCCACCTCCTTCAAATTTGATCTGCTGTCATGTGTAAGTATATCATAATTGTGTCAGTGACTATTTTATTTTGATCACAGATTGGGATTAATGTGTAGCTGTATACTTGTGGAGGGCCATGGATCATCAGTGTTTCATGAAGTTGAAGCTGACTTTGATAAAGCTGCAATTTCACTGTATGCAACAAAAGTCTTTAAAGGTTCCATGTTACTGTCATGGGTTTAGCAGGTTCTTTGAGTCCATGGGAATGTGGAATTTTATGAGTTCCCAACCTACAGATGAAATGTTTTACACTCAGAGTGACCCTCTTTTTTGCTTTACCATGTACAACCTTTGTTTTCCTTTTTCATTAGTACTCTTTATGTTGTCTTAGTCACTGTATTTTAGGACTTGAGCTTGCGTTTATACTTGAGTTAACATACTGAGTGGGTGTCCTGGAGATGAATGAATCCTGAAGAGTATGCTTAATACATGTGATGTCCTTGGCCTCGATTAATACCTAAACAAGACAACTTACGACTTACAAGCTTCCGTATATGTAGTTTTGCTTCTCTCAAGTTGCTATAAAGGACCGCAACAATATGTTGCTATTGATTTTTTGGGTATGCGTTCAGTTTTGACATAAATAATTAGGCCTTTTATTAGGGTTCGATGCTAATGCTCTGTCATTGGTTTCAGTTGCAAAATGAGGGAAATGTGTTATGCGAGATCAGATGGGAGGAACGCATATGAAGTTTCAATGTCGCTGCAGCTTAGTCGATGGATGATTCACTGTTGGGAAGAAGGTGCAACATGGTTCATGTACATTTCATCTTTCAATCCTGGGTACTTAGCAGCTGAGGCGAAGGGAGTTCATCCTTGGATCCGTAGCTGATCAAATTATCGTGAGACATCAATTTCCACCCTTTTCCCCTTTGTTTTCGTATTTGTATCTGTATCTCTTTATCAATCAAAATTCAACCCGATATGGACTCACTTCATGTAGTACATAAGAGTTGAATAAAAAAAAATCTGAGAAATCCAAATGTTCTCACTCAATCAGAGCTCAGAGCAACAAAAAAATAATGAATAGTCACAGAGCACCCATCCATCCATATTGACATCCCACGAGCACCTCCTAAAATATATATGAACTAATATAACTAATCTCACAACGGATAAGTAGCACAAAATTTAATTTCAAATCATTGATAAAATATTAAGAAAATCTCAAATCATTTGTAAATATAAATTAACAGATTAACCTGAAACAATAAAAGAGAAACAAAATTGGACCAACTTTAACCCATTGCGAGCTTCCCTATTTGACGTGGGTCAGTTCATGTTTAAGGGGCGAACTGAGAAATTCCGATAAAGCCCCACATAGCCCCCAGTTCAGTAGGAAGGACTTAAGAATTCGTAGGTCTGTTGCCTACGTGTCAGAACGGTCACTACTCGGATTATGTCAGCCTTTCATTTGAGTCAAACTTATACCAAATCCTCCATTGCTTCTTTTTCTCTTTTGGCTCGATTCTCTTATTTGCAGAAATGATGTTTGCTGCAATCAATTGATATATTGGTCATTCTACAACATCATGCTACTTAAGCCCTATTGCTGCACAACAACATAAGCAAGAGGGGAGCTCACACTTCTAAAAACATAGTGGAGCTTATGGCACATCCTTTGTCACCTAACATTCATCTTACTGTGTACATACTTTAGGAAAAAGAAACACATGAGATTCTAACAATGTCATTTTTGAATTGTATGGCTCTTTTATTTCGAAAATATGACACAATTTAAGTTTTATTTAATAAGATAGAGGAAGTACCTGTGTTTATTTAGGTTAGTTCACTTTCTAAGATTGTCCGTATAATTAAAGGTAAACTTGGGGTTGTCCTCAACTATTTACTAGGTAGAGTATAGCATTTGTTGTAGTTTTATTAATTAACTGTTAAAAGGTTCTTTGGTCTTTGATACTTTCTATTAATATTTTATTATTTTAATTCGGGGTCAATAACTAATGCATTTGAAGTTATAATATGTTAGTAACAGAATATCTTTTGAAACATTTATATTTTGTGGTAACGCAAAAATCTCTTCTAAAATATGAAAAATTTATGAACAAGAGTAAGATAGGATGATCTTATAAACTATCAACTCATTACCAGTAACAAGAACAAGTAACATAATATTACTTCCAAGCAAAAACTATACAAAAAACCCAGTGCATTTAATTTATAAATAAATTAATAAACCTAAATAATACAAAATAAAATGAATTTCCTCCGACCAACGGGTCGGGTAAAAGCTAGTTGCCATTAAGGATCAAATAGTAACTCATCCCGCAAATTCTTATTTCTTCCTGTAACTGCCGCTCTCACCAAAACACAAGATCAATTGGCCCGGCGGCGGTCGTGATCGTGCGGTGACTCCGACAACTGAGAACAAGCCTCCGTCAAGCTTGAGTTCTCACCAGTCGCTGCACAAATCAAGATATCATTCACCAATTCATTACTTTTCTTCGCTGGTCTCCTCCTTCATTGTTCTATCTCTCGATTCTCGACGCAAGTCCGCAAGCGTTAGCAGGCTGCTACCGGCGTTAGTTGGGACAAACCGTCGCTTTTGAAAATTCTTCTCTCTGAATTTCATGCCCGGATGGTGCTTAATTATTTCCCTCGTTCACACGTCTAAGTGTTAAATAAATGTATGTATTTATATATATAGCAATCCCAAACAGGTGATGTTCGTTAAAGTCGTCGGCGGAGGAAATTTTGAGCAGAGCAGAACTAATCCATCACGCAAGGACTCATTCCAGTTCTGTTTAATCCGGCACTTTCCTCCATTTTTGAACAGAATTTGGTACGGCCTCATGTATGCTTTCTTGCCGATCCGTTCTCCGGGATCCACGTCAGGATCATGCCTATCATCTACAGGCGTTCGCCGGCGGCAACATCGAAGCTTCTTGCTCGTCGTCGACTCCAACATTGAAAAGGGATGGTTGTACAAGGGGTGTATGGTCGGAGAAACCAAGAAGTTTGTTCTCAGTTTTCGGAGTCTATGTCGCCTGTCACACTGAGATGCGGCCGCCGCCGGTCCAATTGAAAATTGACCTTCACTTCAGTTTTGGTGAGCTCGGCACTGTTTGTTGTGATGGGAAGAAATCACAATTTGCTGAATGAGTTACTATTTTTTTTGGTGGAATGAATGAGTTACTATTAGGTCCTTAATTGCAATTACCAGTAACTATAAATTTTTTTAATAAATATTGTATTCTTTATTAGTTATTAATAAATTAGAAATATATTAATTATTCTCAACCGTTGGATATATTGAAGGGTCAAGATTAAACCAGAAAGTGAGTGCGTTCAGTACACCCAAAAAAATGAGTGCACCGAAGTAGTCACCTATATATATATATTTTTTTATGCGTTAAAAGTAACACGGACGAAAATTTTTAGAGCTTTATGCCAAGTTGTGACTAGAATGAGTTCTGCGGATTCCGCGAGTGAATAATTGCTAGCTACATACTAGCCAAGGCCAATATATTCTTGCCGTTGAATATTTACAACCAGATACGCAAAGCAAGAGCGCCGGCCGACGAACGATCCAAGTCAACATGTATTCTTCCAAAACTCCAAACACAAAACAACCCAAGAAAAAGACCCATGCCGATTCAACGCGTAAAAAAGACCGGCAATAATTGGCATCTCCAGAATCCCCCAAAAAAATTAATGAAATTATTATGATAGCCGTTCTCCAAACACGCATGTTCTACGACTCCTTCTAAATCGATTCATCATCATCATCATAATATAATGAAGGGCCGTGGCCTGAATCTTTTGGCGGCATCGGTGGCTTTATTGATATTAGCAGCAGCGAGTCCGGTGGCGATTCGCGGTGACGAAAGGGATGATTACAGATGTGGCAGACACTTTGAGTGCGCAAGATGCGGCGGAAGGCGTTGCTGTAGCACATCCGAATACTGCGGGGATACTGACGCCTACTGTAAGCATCCTAATTGCCAACTGCAGTGCAAAGATTCAACTCCCGGTTGTTTCAGAGCTCCGCCCGCAGCTTATAACATGTACAGTACTGATGGCATTAATGGAGCAACTGCACCATGCTCCACTGCTACTGCCAATATCTCGATGGATGGGGTGATCCATGGAGGAGCTCGTCAACCCAACAACGTCACTAGTTATCGTGCAGCTTGCGGCCACTGCTTGAAGGTGAACACGCGCGTAATTTTACTCGTAGGCTCTTGTTTCGCTTGCCAATTTGGGTTTTAATCATCGGTTCGCAAAAACGTGGGGATTCATTGAACAGGTGATCAGGGGAGGAGCTAGGTGGGCCCTTGGGGCCCCCGCCCCGCCCCTAGAATTTTGAAGTTATGTACAATTGTTTTTTTTATAGTTTAGAAAAATTACGTATAAAGTAAAGGTTAATATTAAATATTGTGGTGAGCAATAAAATATCACAAGAATCTAATATAATTACATATTGTATTTTTTTTTTTGTAATTGACACATAAGAAAAAACTACCCTCCATAAGTTTGATGTAATATAATTACATAACTTTTATAGTATAGTGTTTTGTAAATATTTCATAATGTGTGGTTTAATAATACAATCAAATTACGAAAAGTATCATATTGGACTAAAATATTAGATAGAAGTTAACTCATCTCACAGAGCCTTTGTCTAATGCAATTGATGAGATGGTGGTATTTTAATTAATAATAAAATAATTAAGTTACAAAAAGTATCATATGGGACATTTGTGTAATGAAAATTGATGAAATAGTCAACCTTTTAGTTAATAATTCAAAATTTTCTTTAAAACTTATATTATGAAAGAGTTAGGTAATATTTTTTTAATTGGTACATAAGAATTACTATTTCTCTGTAAGTTTTACGTAATGTCTTAATCATTACGAAATTTACATCCTATTATGTTTTGTTTAATTGATATTTTTATTTATAACTTATATTACGAAAGACTTACATAATATATTTTTTAATTGATACATAAAAATTACTATCTCTCGGTAAGTTTAACGTATAATTACGAAAGTCACACCCTATTATGTTTTGTTTAATTGACACACAAAAAATAGCTATTCCTCCATAAGTTAGACATAATATAATGTACATAACTTTTATAGCACGGCATGTTATCGTAATGTGCAGTCTAATAATAAAACTAAATTATGAAAAAATGCATATTTAATCAATATACTACGTATGAAAACCCTTTATGTGTAATTCCTTATATATTTGTGCATACAACCGCAATGTAGGTTATAATTTGGATTAAAAAACTACAATAAATGCAATGAACAGTGTTTGGCGAAGGACTTGAGGGTTGGATTTTTTTCCACATGGAACAGTAACATGCTTAAAAAGTAACTTGTGCTTTTAATTAATTAACTAGTAATTAATGTTTACGTAGGTGACGCAACGTAAAGATGGAAAACAAATGAAGGTGAGACTTCCGGTCGACGACGAGGAGTGCAGCAACAGCCAACTTTCCGAATTGGGTAAAAGAATTTTTCAAGAACTTGACACGGATGGAGAAGGACGAGCTGTTAATCGGGGTTACCTCCTTGTTGTGGATTACCAAGTTGTGCAATGTGATGATGAGCATTGAAAACAATTATAAGTTATAATCTACACATCCGGCCCCAACCATACACTCCAAAAAAAAAATCTATGGCAAGGGTTATTTTGGTCTATAGCAAGGGTTTAAACTAGGGCTGCAAACGAGCCGAGTCGAGTCGAGTTTTTGCTTAGCTTGAGCTCGGCTCGTTTATAAATTTTTTAGCTCGAGCTCGGCTCGAACTCGAATTTTCATCATCCAGCTCGAGCTCGAGCTTGACTCGATTAAAAATAATCCAGCTCGAGCTCGGCTCAATAAAGCTCGGTAAATGCTCATTAACACAACTTGTCAAGCTGAGTACAAGCTCGGCTCAAGATAAGCTCGATTTGAAACCATTCTTGCTGAAAAATGTGTACAAATAAGAACATTAGAAATTAAAAATGATAAAAATAACACTAAAAACTAAAACTAACATCCAACTTCCATACACATCCTTATTAACAAGATAATTTTCATGTTCAGAAAAGTAATTAATCCTTCCACAAGCTTTAAACAAGCCAGCTCGCGAGCTTAGCTCAACAAGCCACCGAGTCAAGCTAGCTCACGAGCTTATCAAGTCGAGCATGGCCTAGCTCAAGCTTGGCTCGTTTACTAACGAGCCAGCTCGCGAGCCGGCTTGTTAAACAACGAGTCGAGTGTCGAGCGAGTTTTTTCCGATTCGAACGCCGAGTTGCTCGCGAGCGGCTTGGCTCATTTGCAGCCCTAGTTTAAACCCATGCTACAAGATCTTGCAAGGGGTTTTCAACCCTTGGACAAACTCTTGGCAAAGCTACCCCTGCTACGTGTAGCAAGGGTTTTGAGTGACCCTTGGTGGAAGTCCTATGCAGGGATTGTAGCAAGGCTTTTGAACCGTTGCTACATTATCATGAGTTTAAAACCCTTGCTATACGTCATTAAAATTAAAAGGATCATAGACACATAACTTACATTTAGCAAGGGTTAAAATCCTTGCTATAATTGGCTCATTTTAAAGCAAACTAACATAATTTTTCGTCACTATGGCAGCCAGATTGCATCTTTAAGGACGGCATTCTTGTTACTAAAGTGAAGACAATATCGTCACTAAAATCAAATATTTCCGTCACTATATGTGATACTAGATTCGGTTTTTTTTGTTCATTCCAAATGAGAGAACTACAAATTGATTTCCTGATGGTTCAAAACCAAATAGATAGTAAACAGAAACAAAAGTACTTCAATAAATTGTAACTAGCTTATAACCCGGCCCATTGGCCGGAATATTCATATTTGATTAGTTATATTTTTATGTTATGTTTAAACTAATTAACCGGTTTAATTTTATTGACAATCCTTCGATCGAGATGATACATAAAGAAAGAATATATAAGTCTAACATTCGAAAAAATACTATCATCATTTAAGAATATAAATATAAAATGTATCATTAATTCCATTTTCATAATGATATTTAAGCCCTCAATAAAATGTTATTGGTTAGTGATTGTCAAGAAAGAGGGTATAAAAGCTCAGTGAAATTCCACACGACTCATAGATAGTTTGAAACTAAATCTTAAACCTCACAATCCTACATAAGGGTTTAATGCGCTCCTTTTATGAATAATAAGCCACTAATCAAAAAGAAATAGAGAGTTGTTGATTCAAGTCAACTATATACTAACAACTCAGCTAAGAGGGGACCATCAAAACTTGAGAGCAAACGATAAAATTAGGGTTATCTCCAACATACTAATAGACTCAATCAAAGCAATAAGGCACAACATTAAACACTCCTTGTCTATCAGTTCCAGTAGGTTGAATAAAGAATCGACATACTTCAATAAATCAATCAATGATTCCTTGTTTGAAGATAGAAATAGGTTGTGATAGATGTAAAAACCATAAATATAAAGATCCAATAGTCACCACTCTTCGTTTTACAACCAAATTTTTATCTCAAGAGACATATGTTTCAACTAAAAATTCAATTTCTAATCTTCCTTCTGCAACTCCATTATTTATTGAACTCTTTTACTTGCCCAACATAAATCTCCAACAATAAAACCGGCGTGCCAAGAGATACCGGATGATTGATTTTCAAAGGCGGCCTTGTACTCGGAAGTGAAATGGGCGCAAACTATTGTACGATGGAGGGAATTTTCGAGGAAGTTAAAAAGAGATAAGAACAAAGATAAAACCAAAAAATTTAAATTGAAAAATGCAAGGACACAACACGTAGTGACAAAATTAGTTTTTTCCATGTTAGCCAATTACCAATTTACTTTTAGCAAAAATTAAGAAGAGAGAAAGAATTTTAAAATTGAGAAAGTACCTGAAACTCTACAATGAAAATTGAAGTATCAAGCACCATAAAAATACATACGGTATACTTAGTTGGCTTGCTAATCATGATGGAAAGTCCTACGATTTTCATAGAGTTGAACTTTGTGTATATTTTGTATTCAAAAAGACACAACAAATTTGTTCAGTGTAAATGGTTGTTATTGTTGTCTTTGTTTGAAGAGACTCGGGTTCAAATCTTGATGTTGATATTTTTTATGTGAGATAAATAGTTAATTGTAAAGACAAAAATGTCCTTCCTACTTTCACTCTCGTTACAGGAAATTTGAAATGGAGAAAAATACACAAAAGTGTGCTATATATTATTGGGGGATATTCTTCTTATGATATGCAATCACACCATAACCATACAATGATTAACAATCTTAAAACAATATCATTCATATAGCATTTGAATATTCTAAACATATTCTCAACACTGAATCATCTAGAGTTACACCTTCATGATCTGTAGCTCCTATTAGAAAGTTGGGTGCATGCTAGAACCTGATGAACACTTGCACCCTGCTTGGACTATGAATCTATCATTGCTGGTGTCACATTGATCTGCCTTAAGAAAGCAATTCTGCAATTACAGTAAAACTCATTGTTTAGAATTAATGCTCTCAAACTCACAAGAATTGTTGTTGTCACTTAAGCATATTTTTCTCCGCGGTTAATAACTTATCCACAAAACATGTGATTAACCACAAGACAACATACATACAAATGATTAGACAACAGTACTTAATTAATGTAATCAATGAAAACAGAGCATATCAATTACCTGTCTTGTTATGGGCCGGGACAGTTCCAGAAAGCATTGACAGAGTTTACTTTACCATTATGAAAGAGAAGCTCCCACTTAAGTACTGCTAATACTAAGCAACTAATAATAGCAAAGGGGTTCAATGCAACACAGAGAGACCCCATTATGAAAGAGAAGCTCCCACTTTCCCCAATATATGTATTACGAGTCCCTGTACCCTTTTGTATATGTCGCATAGTTGGAGTAGTGTTTTTGATATTTTTATATCACGTAACCCTAGCTGCTGTTTATGGGTTTCGTATATTTAGCCTGACCATGAGGGTTCGGCGGCTGTAACACTGGTGTGTAACCTAGTGAAGTTTGTTTCGAGAGCTGTAGCTCTCCGTGGAGTAGTCTCGTTCACGTTGAACGGGGAAACCACGTTAAATCGTCGTGTTCGTTTCCTTTCCGCGTTTGGTTTTCTACATGGTATCAGAGCTGTGACAAGATCGTTCTCGTTTCCGTTGTGCTGCGATGAGCGCGTTCTCCAGTTCTTTGCCTTCAGGCCTTGGTGATGACTCCAATGGCGGCGGCGGTGGCGGGTATGAAACTGACCCCGCCTCCCCGTATTTTCTAAGTCAATCCGACAACCCAAACCAACTGTACGTTGGTGAGCTTCTGACCGAAGGGAATTACGCCGACTGGGTGTATGAGATGACGACTTCGCTCTTAGCAAAGAACAAGCTCGGTTTCGTGGACGGGTCGCTCGAGGAACCAACCGATCCGGGCAGGCTGCGCGCGTATCGCCGGGCAGACGCCATGGTGAAGGGGTGGTTGACCACCGCTGTAGATAAGCAGGTTCGCCGTGGTATGCGTCACGCCAAGACAGCCCGTGACGTGTGGATGGACTTGAAAGAACGCTTTGAAGTGGGAAGCCATCCACGTGTGTACGAGGTTCGCCGCAGCATCGGCCGTCTCCCACAAGAAAAACTGTCTGTTTCCGAGTTCTACACTCGACTTCGAGCACTATGGGAGGAGCTTCAAACAATGGTGCCTCTCCACCCCTGTACTTGCGGTAAGTGTACGTGTGGGCAGCAGCAGAAGAACCAGGAGCGTGAGGAGCATTTTCGTCTATATGACTTCCTCATGGGCCTGGACGAATCTTTCTCTACGGTCAAGACACAGGTGCTCTCCATGCCTAAGATGCCTACTCTCTCCGAGGCCTACCAGCTGGTCTCTAGCGATTATCACCAGCGTCGTATCGCCGCGGGAAATCGCCCAGCCCCAGAGGCTGCTGCCTTCTTCTCGCGTGATGAGCCTGGTCGCGGCGATGGCGTCCATGGTGAGAAGCCGCGTTGTTCCCATTGCGGCAAGCAAGGACACTCCAAGGATCGCTGTTTTGATCTTATCGGATGGCCGGAAAAGCTTGCTTCCAAGTCCGAGAAGGGCGGTCGTAAGAAGTCCTCGGACCGACCTCGTTCTGGTCCGAAAGCAGCCCAGGTCGCAGCTACCACGAGTCCCATTCCCGGCCTAACCGCCCAGCAGTTTGAGAGTCTCAAGACCTTCCTCAGTGGTGATTCGAAGGGACAACTTGACGAGGTTGGCAAAATGTCAGGTAATCCCTCTCTATCCTCTGCAGAATGGGTTATTGATACAGGTTGTAACCAGCATATTACTAAGGATGCTAGTCTTTTATCTGGCGGTCGCCATGAGTCTGGGCTCGCAGTTCGTATCCCCGATGGGGGAGCTATTGATGTTCAGCGTGTTGGTTCTGTTCAGTTAGGCAACGGGTTAATACTGCCTCGAGTATTACTTGTTCCGGAGTTTAAATGCAACCTTCTTTCCGTTAGCCAGCTCACTAAGCACTTCCCAGTTGCGTTGATTTTCTTGGGGGATTTCTGTTTTGTTCAGGACTTACACTCCAAGACTCTGATTGGGATGAGTAAGGAGCGCGATGGCCTCTATTATTTGCGTCTCTTTGACCACGTCCGACAGGCCATGGTGTGTGCGACGCAAGCGGAAGGGGTTGCCAGCCTGTGGCACTCACGTCTCGGTCATCCAGCACCGGAAAAGCTACATCGGTTGAATTTTGTTCCTAGTTCTAGTCGGATAAAAACAGATTCTTGCTCCCATTGTTTGCGAGCTAAACAGTCGAGAATTCCTTTTCCGTTGGGAAGTTCTCTCCGTAGTACAGTTCCTTTCGAATTAATTCATGTGGATATTTGGGGTGGCTACAGAGTGGCATCATTGAGCGGTGCTCATTATTTTCTGACGATTGTGGATGATTTTACTCGTGGTACATGGGTTTATTTGATGAAGTTCAAGTCGGAAGTTGGGAAATATCTTGAGCTATTTTGTCAGCAGGTTAAGCGCCAGTTTGGGGCTGCTGTTAAACGTATACAGGCTGATAATGGTGTCGAGTTTCAGACAGTTCAGCTTCGCGTCTATTATGCCCAAGAGGGCATTCTCCTTCAGACATCGTGTGTGAACACACCTCAGCAGAACGGCATTGTTGAACGGAAGCACCGTCATATCCTTGAGACGGCTCGTGCTCTTCGTTTCAACGCAAATATGCCAATTAAGTTCTGGGGTGAGTGTGTTCTGACTGCAGTTTATCTCATCAACCGGTTACCCTCCTCTCTCGATCATCACAAATCACCTTACGAGAGCCTCTACGGCCGCCAGCCCTCTTATGCACATCTCCGTGTCTTTGGGTGCCTTGCCTTTGCCAAGGACACTCGTCACCATTTGGACAAGTTCGACGAGCGCGGCCGTGCCTGTGTTTTCATTGGTTACCCCGAAAGTCAAAAGGGTTACCGCTTGTTTGAGCTGCGGTCTCATCGTTGCTTCACCAGCCGCGACGTTGTTTTTCAGGAGGAGAAGTTTCCCTTCCAGGTGGTCTCGTTCCCCAGTCACCCTCTTCCACCTACTCCACAAAATGAGCCGCCAGTAGCTATTGCCGAGCTTCCCTCCTTGTCCATTTCTGAGATGGACGAGAGTTATGTCCCTCCATCATCGCCTACAGCAGCTACTCCGCCCGAGTCCATGGAGCCCAGCTCTCCCGCCACGTCGACAGCTACCCCGACCGCGGCGAGCACCCCGGAGACGGACAGTTGCTCCCCTGGGAACTCCACTAGTTCTTCTTTTTCCCCTGCCGTAGTCGCAGATCCAACTCCTTCCATCGCGGTGCGGCGAGGTGACCGCCTACGTCGTCCCCCGGAGTTCCTCATCAATAATTATGAGGTCAAGTTACCATCTTCTCAATTTTGTACCTCCCCTCCTGTTGCACATCCCTTAGCTGATGTTATCAGTTCTCACCGCCTGTCACCCTCTTATTGTGCTTTCTTGGCAGCTGTGGACCGTCATCGAGAGCCACGCAGTTTTAGCGAGGCTATCCGCTACCCCTGGTGGAAAGAAGCCATGCAAAAGGAGATCTCGGCTCTCGAAGCCCATAGCACCTGGGATCTACGTCATCCCCCTGCTGGTAAGCGCATCGTGGATGCGAAGTGGGTGTTCAAGATTAAGTACCGGCCCGATGGAACCATCGAACGATACAAGGCTCGACTCGTTGCGAAGGGGTTTACACAGGTGGAGGGTGTTGATTTTCATGACACTTTCGCTCCGGTCGCGAAGTTAGTTACCATTCGTTGTGTCCTCGCCGTTGCCGCTCAGCTCGGTTGGCACCTGCATCAGTTGGACGTCAACAACGCATTCCTCCATGGTGACCTTGATGAGGAGGTTTATATGCGTGTTCCGCAGGGTTTTGCCAAGCCCGGTGATCCCCGTGTTTGCCGATTTCGCAAGTCGTTGTATGGGCTGAAGCAGGCAGGGCAAAACTGGTATAAGAAGTTCACTACTGCGCTTCAGTCTATTGGTTTTCGAGCCTCCAGAGCTGATCACTCCCTGTTCACTTGTCAACAAGGTACGAGCTTCACTGTTGCTCTTATCTATGTTGACGATGTGATTCTTGGTGGAAATGATTTGGCTTTTATCGCTCGGGTAAAGCAGTTCCTTGACCGCAGTTTTAGCATCAAGGACCTTGGTCAGTTGAGGTACTTCCTTGGCATAGAAGTTGCTCGGTCTCCCAAAGGTATCTTCCTCTCCCAGCGAAAGTATGCTCTTGACATCCTCGCCGACACTGGAAATCTGGGTGTTCATCCTTGTACCTTTCCCATCGAGCAGAATCATCATCTCAGTCGCATTGAAGGACCAGCAGCTGCTGATCCTAAGTCCTACCCTGGCTAGTTGGGAGGTTACTATACCTCACCGTTACTCGACCTGACTTGACCTATGCTGTTAACATACTCAGTCAGGCGGTCCACTCTCCTCGGCAAAGTCACGTTGATGCTGCTCATCGTGTTCTCAGATACTTGAAGAACTCCCCGGGAAAGGGCGTCTTCTTCCCAGCCACTGGCAGTCTTACTCTCAATGCATACTGTGATGCAGATTGGGCAGGTTGTCAACAGACTCAACGTTCCACCACTGGTTATTTCATGACATTGGGAGGCAGTCCCATTTCTTGGCGGACTAAGAAACAGACTGTTGTTGCTCGCTCTTCTGCAGAAGCTGAGTACCGAGCAATGGCCAATGCAGTCAGTGAGGTTATTTGGCTCCGGTCACTTCTACGCGAGCTTCGTGTTCCTGTTCAATGTGCTACTCCGTTATACTGCGATAATCAGGCTGCTCTCCACATCGCAGCCAACCCTGTCTTTCATGAGCGAACGAAGCATGTTGAGATGGATTGTTATTTCGTTCGTGAGCGTGTTGCTAGTGCAGAGATCGAGCCGCGCAAGATTTCCACTACTCATCAGCTTGCGGACGTGTTCACGAAGGGCTTGGGTGCCGACCAGTTCACTACCTTGACATCCAAGCTTGGCCTTCATGACATTCACGCCTCCGCTTGAGGAGGAGTATTATGAGTCCCTGTACCCTTTTGTATATGTCGCATAGTTGGAGTAGTGTTTTTGATATTTTTATATCACGTAACCCTAGCTGCTGTTTATGGGTTTCGTATATTTAGCCTGACCATGAGGGTTCGGCGGCTGTAACACTGGTGTGTAACCTAGTGAAGTTTGTTTCGAGAGCTGTAGCTCTCCGTGGAGTAGTCTCGTTCACGTTGAACGGGGAAACCACGTTAAATCGTCGTGTTCGTTTCCTTTCCGTGTTTGGTTTTCTACAATATGCAACAGCTGCAAAATGCAACAATGCATCAAAAACATTCTATGCAATGCAAATCTCGGTAAAGGAAACAAGTAACCACATCTGACTTCCACTTTGCAAAGCCGAAAGTGCAGATGCACATTAAACATATTACAACAGAGAACAGTAACATGGAAATGCAAGAGAGAGATGATAAATAACTGAGGAAGAGCAAAGCCATAAACCTGCATATGGCTAGTGGCTCTTTTTGTCAACTGTATGTAATGTAAGTATTACCCCCTGCCATTTTATGTGCCAACCACAACTACCCCTCTGCCACAAGCATAAAGAAATGTGGACAGGGCGCCTAGCTAGCTTGGGTGAAATGTGTTCTTGGGTCCTGAATCCTGATCTTTATTTTTTTTGCTATCGCATGTGATGAGTAGATAGTTTTTTCATTTATCGATGGCATCGTCGATCTTTTTGGAGCTGGAAAATCATGATAGACCAAGTAAGTCATTAATTTATAAGATATCAACACAAAACAGAAGACCAAAATAACGCAAGAGTAGGAGACACCTCATATATCGTCTGAGAGCCAGCCAGGAGAATCGAAATCCATATCAGAAACCAAATTAAGCAGGACACAATGTAACAAGATCAAATATCATGGGAAGTTCCATTACTAATGGAACTAACATATAATCAAACTCATTATTGAAGGCTTAAGCAAATTAAATATAAAAAAAAGGGACATAGTAAAAAGATATTACAATTCCACAATTTGGGACAGATACAATTTCATTAACAAATATATAGAAATCCAAAACTAAAGGGATTGTAAAGAGATTGAATTTACCTACTTGAGTACGCCTTGACCACCGGTCTATCATCGCCTGACACATAGAAGCATCTTGAGGTACCTCCTCTGTTTGCAAAATGAGATAAATCAACACAAAGAAAAAGGCTATAATATCAACCAAAAACAAAAGCAGGAAAGCTAACATGTATACAAGCAAATTCAAGATGGATGGGGTGATGAATACGTGGTTAGCATGCAGCAAAGCAAAACAAAACAAAGGCGGTTTCATATGGGCTTGGCTTTGCTGTCACCTTCTCCTTCCTTGGCTTAGTTGTCAGCTCTTTACCTTGAATACATGACTATAGATCTAGCTACCATCATCGTAGGCACTTATCCCTTTCTTCTTTTAATTTTTCTGGATTTTTCCAGAAATAGCACATTTTAAATTTTTTTTTTACAAAAATAGCGCCCAATCCAAAAAATTTACAAAAATAGCACCCATTTTTAAAATCGCACCTCTAAGGTGCAGTTTGATAGTAAAACGCACTCCCATAGTGCTATTTATGTGTAAACCGCATGCCCAAGGTGCGGTTTAACAATCTGGGCCAAAACCGCATCTTGGCCATGCAGTTCTGGGCCTGACCTTGTAAAAACCGCATGGCCAAGGTGCGGTTTGATTTGACCTAGCAAAATCGCACTTTGGGGATGCGGTTTAGCCCACACAAACCGCACCCCCATGCGGTTTGTGTAATTATTTTCCGACATCAAATTATTGGCATGCTGGTTGATAGACGTGAGGCTGCATGGCAGATGAAAACCGCATCCTCCCCATGCGGTTTTCATTGATGATTTTGCCTATAAAAACAGCCCGGGAAACAACCTCTTCTCTTCACATTCTCCCTTTTCAATTTTCTGTTGTAGCTCCCTACTTCTTTAGTGTTTTTGCGGTTAACGTTAACTCGTAAGTTTATTTTGTATTACTTTTTATTGTGATTTTTTATTTTTATGATATTAACTTAACTACGGTTTTTTTTTTGCAGATGGCATTCCAAAAGTTCACACTTGGGTTACGGTGGAATGGTTACACGGAAGAGACCGGAAAGGGGGTCACCTACGTCGGTGGCAATTTTCAGAAAATAAAGGTCGCTACCAGACCGATGCTTGAAGGCCTCTATCAAATGTGTACTAACGTTACTTGCATGGATGACACGAGAAGAGTTGATCGTATGGTGTACCGATATCCAAACAGAGAAGGCGGGTCGTTGTGGCACGAGGAATATGTCATAACCACTCAGGATGAAGTAGATGCCATGCTCGAATTCTTGAGGTCCAACAATCTTTCCAAAGCCGAGATGTTCGTTTACACCGAGGCGATCGTAGCCGTTGGAGGTCATTCTAGAGACGGTCAAACATCTGGTATCCATGGTGGAGGTGAATTATATGGAGATCATCCCTACCAAAGTTACCATGATCCTCATTCCTATTTTCAGTACCAAGAGCAAGGTGAAGGTCATCATCAATCTTTCCCGTCATATGAAGAAGAAGTTCAACCGGACCATGCCAACCAACCCCAATACAATTTCCAATCAGGCAGCGGTAGTTTTCACAACTACCATTATGGAGCTGATCTAGGTCCCTTTCATGAGCTGGATCATATGGAAGATGCCCTGCCAACACCAGTTAGTGACCCATCCGATGAAGAAGGAGAGAACAACGTCAGTGCAGACAGCTCCGACCCTCTTGAAGGTGCTGATGATTCGGGACCAGAGTCAGACTCAGATAATGATGATGTAGTGGCTCATGACCGTGTACCAGTCCCCTACTACAATCACATTCCAGACGACAATTGGATGATCGAATACAATGCAGCACTCGTTAGACTCTTAGATAATTTAATGAAAATCGTATTGGTTGTTTGATAAATAATTTAATTGTATTGGTTGTTTTAAATAATTTAATCGAATACAATGCAACACTCGTTAGACTCTTAGAAGAGGTATACATCTTCTTAGAAACACAGCCTTTTTGACATAAAAGGGGGAATCCGAGGATCTCTTAATACCCGATTTTCCCAGAAAATGGGAGGATCATGATAATCGCTTAAACCCCATTTCCTTATATGTGCATCTCTTTATAAAGAGTCGAAGTAAGTGGCGCTATGTATTCGATTAAATTATTGAAAACAACCAATACGATTAAATTATTTTAAATTTATTTTATATTCCACTAAGTACATTAGCAAAATAAAAGAAAGACAAATGATGTAGAATTGTATGTACCTGGTGATCGTTCCAAACATACCTTGAACGATGGTTGAGTTGGTCGTACAAGTCGGTTGGATCAATAGGTCTTTGATCCAAATAATAGCGTTGGTTGTATATATCCACGTCGTCCCCAACCTACGTGAGAATAACAACAAGGTTAGTACATAGATTAATTAAAAAGCTTATAACAAAAATAAAAATTGACCAGAATAATGAGTACGTACCGCTTGAAATTCATCATAATAAACTCCCTCTCCTTGGAACCACTCGTCCATTTTTTCGCGAAACTCGGACAGAAATTCGGCGGGTTTTGAGGGAAAAACCAAAGAAATATTTTTTGATGGCAGATCGGACTTAGCCGCAACCAACAGACCACTATTTCCTAGACTTTTGGGAGGGGAGGGTTAGAGAGATAATTTTAGAGAGAGAGAGTGAAGAATGGGTTGTGGTGTGAAGAAATGAGAGGGGGGAGGGGGTATTTATACTACTCAGACCACACCCTCCAGGGGCGGTCTGGTAATTTTTCCTGCTAGAAACCGCACCCTCCCGATGCGTTCTGCGTGGATCGAGGCGTTGACCACACCTGCCAGCTGCGGTCTTTGATCCGTGGCGCGGATCGCTGAGGTGGCAAGCGGTCCGCCGCTGGATCGCTGCCTGATCCTGCGGTCTCCAAGCCCGCTCCCGAGGAAACACAGACCGCACCTCCAATGTGCGGTTCACTGGCTGACGTGGCATGGAACGCACCTCCAAGGTGCGGTTTATGGATAAAACGCACCTTGAAGGTGCGGTTTACAAATAATGGTGCTATTTTTGTAAATTCTTTGGACTGGGTGCTATATTTGTATTTTTATAATAGGTGCTATAAAAAAAGCTTTTTATTGTGATAAACACAGTAATGCACTATCATTATGTTATCTTCAATGTAGTTTCTACGTCATGCTTCACGAGAAGGTGGTTTATCAGCCGTGTAGATTGTTTTCTTGTCATTGGCCTTCTAGTTTCGAGTCATTGATTTCATTTTGATAGAGTACTCCCAGTCTTTCAAGGAAACCAGTCTCCTATCATCTTTGTTATTACCATAATCATTAAACTTATTATGTTAAGATTAGTAGTATTTGAGTCGTATTAGGTTTATTATTTGGATTTTTCATTCTTCTCTTATAAACACGTACATTAGGTCTTTCGTTAGCCTACGGTCTACATATACAGGTTGACAATGATAGAGAAATTCCACAGTCTTAAACCAAAAATACTAAATAGGAAGCAATGTTTGTGGATGTCAACGTCCCAACTAAATTGCACACATGTAATCAATTAGCTATCTATCATGAAATAATCTACACACTCATATAAGGGGATTCCACATGAAGAGGAGGTTAAAACATAAAATGGAGCCACGAGCGCATTCCACGGAAGGCTACAAGCATCTTTCTACTTTTTACTTTTATAATCTCTTTTCATTTTTTATTCCATTGACGTTGAGGCATGACTCATGAGGATAATCGAATTTCTTTATTACGTTGGATCTCTTTTTTCATTTTTGCGGCAGAATCCTTTTCTATTTTTTTCCCCATAACTAATCCTTTTTCTATTTTTAAGTTCAAGGCTATAGCATTTTACTTTGAGCACTTATACAATGCTATATAGAATTGGTGTTTTAATGTACAACTTGAAACTGTACCATAACATTAAATATATAAGTTTAGGTTGTACCATAAAGCAATTTGTATAATTATGTTATGGTACAACTTTACAAGTTGAAGTTGTACCATCACATAAATATACAAGTACAAGTTGTACCATAAAAGAATTTGTGCAAAAAGTATAGGTACAATATGATGTTGTACCATAACGTGAAAGGTATAATTTCAAGTTATACCATAAAAGAAAAAACCTATAGCACGCATTCTATATAGCATTGTAAAATTCCTCTTTTACTTAATAAGTAATTAAAAAGAAAAAAATCAGGCTAATTAAAAGGAATTTGCTAATACTGTTTCTTTGAAACATTCATATTTGAAGAGGAATGTGAACGGTAGTTATAAGGTAAACAAACCATATCACATATTATAACTATATTGGTCAACCTTATCGATCAACAGGTCAATCAATATTTTTCATTTGACTCCAAGTAACTTTTAGTTGGTGTTTGACCATATCATCATAGATATTCCCAATAAAAAATATAAACATTTGTTTCCTTAACTCCCGCAAAAACAAACATTTATTTCCAGCCCCATTTACATTAACTTCAAAAGTTTAAGTGATTAATTAGAGAAAAGTTTATATGTACATGTAGTATGTAGTGAGAACTAAAATTGTATGAAAACGGTTTTTATGATGATTTTTTTAGGCGAGGTGAGCAAAAAATGGCGTTTCATATGCGTAATTATGTTACCATTAAGTTTTTGCCTTCGATTATATGTAGTCCATTCAGTGGTGGAAGTAGTCCATTCGGTGATGGATGTTGTTGAGAGAAGAACGATTATGGAGATAGAAATATCAGCATTAGCAAGAAAGACTAAATCTTAAACAATATTCATTACTTGAAAGAAGTAGTATCAATGGTAGTGAAATTATGTTTCATTTTTGCAAATATTTAGTATTAGATTTGATTTCCAATGAAATTTAGGAGAAGAAGGAAGAGAATGTTCAAATGCAAGAGAACAAGGAAGATGTTGCTCATAGTGGAAATAGAGGTGTCATGAATGGAGATGAAAACGTTGTTATTGATCGGGATAATAATGCTAATGGCGAAGCAATCGCGAAGTCTAAAAAAAATTACAATAATTTATAATCAACAGGTGATTTGAACAAGCTTTTTAGGAGTTGATTCCCTTGCATGACTTTTTTCTAACTTTGGATAATGACGTTGGTTGATGAATCAGTTAGTCTGTCACAAAATTATATGATTCATGCTCTTTTTCATTTTTTTCACTAATAAATATTTGAACTCTTTTATGATAGTAAATAAAAAAAATATTTTCTTCGAATAGTTACTATTGTAGTTTACTTCATTGATATAAGGGTTAATACCTTATTCTGGCCCGAACTATGATTATATAATCAATTTTGGCCCGTGGTTTCAGAAATT